CATGGTGAGAAGCGACTCCTGTCGCTGTCCTCTGACTTCCACAAGTGCCCCGTGGCATATGAAGGCGCACCTCACTCTCCAAAATAGATAAATAGTAAGTAGAAAGCCACTTGCCCAAGCAGCTCCTCTATAGCACGTGGGGGAAACCGAAGCTGAGAGTTTACAAACAGAAAAGGGCTTTCTGCTTAAATGAGGAAAGTCCACCTTAGGTCATCCCAGACTCCTAAAAGGATGTGGAACTGGAGCGCCGAATGGAGTGGCCTCTAGGAAGGAGAAAGACCGGTGCCTCCCTGCCCCCAACCCCCAACATGGAGTCTTATCCCATTCTTACTTGACTTCGGGATCATCTTTGGTAGGTTTCTTGGGAAGATACTTTTTCACAAGGCTCCTAAGATGGGGACAAAGGCAGGGAGGCTGAGAACCCAGAGGGCCCCCGCGGAATCCCAGAGCTGGGAGCACCCACCCTCGCGCTCACCGGAGTTGCTTGGCGTAAGCCTGCTCCACCTCCACACGTTCTTTCACGAACTTCACGTATTTGTCCAACAGATCCAGCCCCCACTGAGTGTGGCGTTCCAGCACCTCAAACTGATCCTGATTGCAGGGATGTGATTGGGGAGGGTCAGGGTCACCTGAGCGGGGGGGGGGGGGGTGCGGGGGGCACTGAAACCCTAGCGACCCGGAGCAACCTCAAGGCTTAGCGGTTCCAGCACTGGCTGGCTGGCTTCCCCAGGCGCCGCCCCGGCGTGGCGCAGAGGGAGGCAGGAAGCTGGCGGGAACCCCCATCTCCTCCTCCCGGGAAGAGCCTGGGCAACAGGGCCAGGGCCCAAACCGGACGGCGGAGTCTCTCGGAGTCGGGGTGTCTTTCAAGAGTGTGGAAGGAGGCGAAGCCACTCCAGCTGCCCCCGGATCCTCTAATTTTCCCCAAATTCCGGAAAATCAAGAGGGCTTGGCACAAAAGTGAGGCACAGAGGGGAAGGGTTTGTGCAACTCAAAGTGCGTGGAAGCGGGGGGTGGGGGGGAGGCGCTCAATGTCCAGATTTCTCCATTCGCTGTGATCCCCTCAGGATCCTCCGGGGAGTGACTCAGTTTCCCCCGCTTCTATGATGCCTCCACTACAGTGGCTCTCCCCGACTACACCCGAAGACTACACCGCCTCTAGAAAGAGGAGGGGTCAACAGTCCGACAGGGATGCAGGGAAACTTCCAGGGCTTCCTGGGTGAGGTTAAGAGGCGGGTAAGGGGTGGCTCCGCCCAGCGCCCGGGGCTGAGTCCTGCAGCCCCTTCCCCTCCCCCTCAGCGTCCCAAGCCCTTTAGGGCAATTGCAAGCCGGGAAGGAACCCGGTAAGGCCCCACGTGGGAGAGAAGGTGACCAAAGGGTCCCCTCCCCCTCCCAGCCGGACAGGCGGGCGACGGGCAGGGACCCAGTGGCCGTAAGATTAGCCTCCAAGCCAGGCCAGGGCGCTCAAAATAGGTGACCTCGCCCAGCTGTCCCCCTTCCCTGGCCTGGTCCAGGGACTTCTGGTGATGGCCTCACTCTCAACTCTGTGCCTCAGTTTCCCTATACCGGGCTAGGCAAAGTATTCCTAGGGAGCTCTGGGAGTCTTGAAAGTCCCAGAAGAAACTTTTGAGAGAGTGGGGAGGGCAGAGGGCGGGGACCCATGGGATCAGCTGCGAGGGAAAGCGCGGAATCCTGGCTAAGGTACTTCGGGGACAAAGAGCGGAGAGGCCAGGACCCCAGCAAGGGAGAATAGTGAAAGGCTGCGGGGAAAGGACTCACCCACAACTCGGTGCCCCAATCCATGCTGCTTCTGCTGCGAAGACGCCACCGCCTCCAGCCCAGGTCCCCGCCGCCCTCCACCGGAGACTCAGCCCCAGGGCAGTGTGCCCAGCCCCGCCCGCCCCACCGCCAAGACACGCCCACCAGTCTGGAAAGATCACGCCCCCTTGTGCTTTACCACGCCCCTGCCCGGCCAAGCCCCCAGCAGGCGCCCTAAGGGCGGAGCCCAATGAGGCGGAACTCAGCGGATGCTCCACCTCTCTTAAAGAGCCACGGTCTTCTTTAAAGGTCTCGTCGGTTTATTTTCCAAATTTGTTTCCCCATATTACTCTCCTCTGCCATCCCAAACCTTTCATCTTTTCCTTTCAACTTTGCATTTCTTTTAAAGGGTCAAAATTGGAAAATGGGTCCCCAAGCAGTCTCTCCAACTTCTCCCCCACTCCATGGCAGGGAAAACCTGTGGTCGGTCACTAGGCTCTTGCGGGGACCGACTCGGCTCCAGAAATCTCCATTTCGTCCCATTAACGGTCTGGTTCCCTCCGGCCACAGAGCAGATGGGTGACTTCGATCCAGCCCAGCACGCGCCTCCAGCCAAGGCCAGGTCCATTAGCGCACCCCCACCGCATCCTGACTTCTCGTCCTCCCCGCCAGCCTCCTCTGGGAAACTGAGGACAGGCTGTCCTTGGGCACCAGTCCTGGACTACACACACACACACAAACACACGCCCACACTGCACCTGACTGCTCATTTCCTAGCCTCATTCACTGAGGTCTGACCAGGACTGCCCTTGAGAGTCCCCGTATTTCCCCTCCCCCTCCCGCTTAGACTCTGGGACTCTGGGGCAAGTTCGGGTCCTCCCGATCATAAAAGCCTTTTCACGCCTTGTAAATCCCCTTGAGGCTTCCGCACGAAAGGGAAAAGGCCCCGGTGTCTCCCACCCCAATCTCCCCGCCTGCAGGTGCTTTCTCCTCTGCTGCGGAAGTGCCAAAACTGGGCTGAGGCTGGAAGAGAAAGGCAGCCTAGACTTCTGAGGAACTAGGCCCTGGAGTCCCCGCAGAAACTGAGGCTCCAACGGGCCCTGGCCCCACCTGCTGGCGGCCGGTAGACTAAGCTCCTAGATGCAAGGCGGGGAGCGGGAAGGGGGGGAGGGGCGGAAGAAGAGTCAGAGGCCAGATGATGAATAAAGTGTCAGGCCGGGCGTGCCAGGGTCAGCGACGTAGCTGGAAACTCTACAGCTGGGGTCCAGCAGCTGGGGCTCTTCCAGATCCGGGGGCTCAGTAGGAGAGATCGGAATGGGGAGAGGTCAGGGTTTCAGGTTCAAGTTGGGGCTCAACCGCTGCAAGGAGGTTAAGTCTGGGGCGGAGTCTGCAAGGTGGGACCTACAATGGCACTCGGCCTGGGATTAGAGGTCAGCACGGGGTGAAGAATTTTAGGCTTCTCTTTGGCCCAGGAAAGTCGAAACAGGGCAAGCCTCAACAGACGCTTATGTTTACCAAAAGCTCTTCTGGCCCGGTGCCACGTCCCGAGATGGGGGAGAGAGAGGAAGTGAGTTTAATGGCATGCTGGGAAATGTAGTTTATGCGTGCTTTGTTGCGCGCATCTATTCCCTCTCCATTCTGGGTAATGTAGTCCTGGACCGTTAAGAGTTGGTGAAGCAATTTCGCTTTAAGGGACGGATATGGGTCCCCGGATCATTGGTGAGTCTTCCTGTTCATCAAACTACATCCGGGACGATCTGTTTAGCGATTGGAGGGCAAGAAAGCGGGGCTGAAAAAAGTAAGCGCGCCCATTGGGCATGGCTTCTGTCCATCAAAATGATCTCGGGTGCTAATTGGATGACCCAACCACGTCGTGAGACGATTGGCTAACAAATGGGCAGGCCCTACTAGGCGTCAGAGGCGGTGTCGGGGGCAGTCGCAGCCCCAGAGATGGCAGTGAGCGAGAGGAGGGGGCTCAGCGGCGGGAGCCCAGCGCAGTGCGGATGGGGACGCTTGTCGCTGCTGGTGCTGCTGCTGGGCGGCTGCTCAGGCCGGATCCACCGGCTGGCGCTCACAGTGAGGCCCGCGGGCTTGGCCTCCCTTCCCCCCTCCCCAGAGCTCCGCCGGTGGATGGAGTGGCCGCATCCCTCACAGCGGGCCGCTAGTGGTCTCGTCCCTGGGCCCCCCTACCCGGTGCTCGCAATGGGTTGGCCTGGTTTAGGGGCGGGGCTTCATCTCCCGGGACCCCTGAATCCTGGCCCTTTAAATTCCGGGGGCCCCTTGGGTAACTACCATAAGACCTCCTGGGAGGATGGGGTACCTAGTAGGGTCTTCCTGGTAGTCACTTTGATGGGGCGGGGCAGGGCCGGGGAGCTACTTTGAAAACTAGCCCAGATGGAATTGAAATGTTTTTCAGGAAGTCGAATCTAATTAAGCCAACATGTGTAGCCCACTCTTGATGTTGTGCACATCAATATGGGGCCTTTCATGGGGGTGCCAGGGTCTCACCTCCTGGGCACTCAAACCCACCCTACCATAGGGAAATGCCACCACCACCACCAGCACCCTGTACCCAGGAAGGCTTTCTCACATGCTCATGGCCTGAATAAAACTGTCCATGCAGTGGGGCTGGGATCTCGCTGGTGGGGAGAGTGTCCTTGCTGCCACTGTCGCTTTGGTTTCCTGCAGGGGGACAAGCGAGCTGACATCCCACTGAACAGCTTCGGATTCTACACCAACGGCTCCCTGGAAGTGGAGCTGAGCTTACTGCGACTCGGCCTCCAGGAGACAGAGGAGAAGTCACCAAGGGTGAGGACTCAGTGCACACGTTCTGGAGTTCCCTTTCCCACACCCACGTGATCTGTGGAAGGCCCCATAACCTTCTCGAACCTCAGTTTCCTCACCTGTCCCTTGGGAATGAATACAATGCCTCATGCAGTCTGAATTTGGGGGTACAGATCCGTCATCTTAGTGTCCCTGCTGGCTGAGGCAAGGAGCCCCAGACTGGGCCGTCTCTTTAGGTGCTCTACTGCTAAGCAACCCCACCTCAGCTCCTTTGTACTATAAGAGTTTATACTGTGTATAGTGTATTTTAATCATACTCAACCTCCCCCAACACCTCTCCTCCCCCTAACTCCTTCAAGACGCATCCCCACCTTTCCAAACTCCGCCCAATCTCCAGCTGTCCAATAACTCTGCATCAACCAGGCTTGGCCACAAACTCAGATCTCTGCCAGCCTCAGTGCTGAGAGTAAAGGCCTGTGTTCTTTTTTCATTTTCATCTGGGGCTACACCCCTAAAGAAAACTTGCTCTTCTTCACCCATCATTCATCCGCTGGCCTTAGCTCCTCAGCTAGGTGTGGGGTTTTGAGCACTCTTCTTTCTTTGCTGGAATGTTGACCAGCTTGCTCCTGTGCAGGCGACCATGGCTGCTGTGAGTTCATAAGCAGCAGTCTGCCATGGCCAGAAGACTTTTTTTTTTCTGCTCCAGTCCTCCCCAACTTCTGGCTTTTACAGTCTTTCCTTCTTCTTCAGCGATGTTCCCTGAGCCTTTGGAAAAGAGGTGTGATATAAATGTCCCATTTATAGCAGCCTTATTTTCTCTTTTTGTTTGTTTGTTTGCTTGCTTGCTTATTTGTTTTTGGTTTGGGTGTGGTGTTCAAGACAGGGCCTCACTATGTAGCTCTGGCTGTCCTAGAACTCACTATGTCGACCAGGCTGGCTTTGAACTCACAGACGTCTACCGCTGGTATTCAAAGGCATGCATCACTGTGCCTGGCAAGCAGCCTCATTTTGACAGTTTGTTTTGCAACAGGGTCTGACGTAGTGCAGCTTAGCCTCAAACTTAAGTCCCTCCTGCCTTAGCCTATGAAATTGCAACCATGCTCTCTCCTGTCCAGCACCGTTAACATTTTAAGTGAGTAAAGGCAATCAGGCTGTGAACAGTGTCTCAAAGGAAGTACATTCCCTATGAGCATTGAGAGCCAGGGGCAGGTCATTGGAAATCTAGCATATGGCGGGCGTTCAGTACCTGTGAGATGAGCCAGAACTGCTGCTACATGGTGAGGCGGCTGGAGAGTTGCTGCAAATTCGCAAGTTCAACCCCCAGCCTGGCCAACCTCGGTGAATCCCCTGCCAGCTAGGGCTATGTAACGAGTCCTGTCTCAAAGCAGAACAGAACTAGGTTGCATCTCTTCTGGTGGATGCTTTGGGAGCCCTTCACTGTTTTCTCTTTTCCTTCAGGTGGGATTCAGCTTGAACCGGGTACGATCTGGCAGCGTTCGCTCCTACTCGGTGAGTAGAGGGCTTCCGAGGGATGAGGGGGAACGGGTGTGGTGTCGGGGCCCTGTCTTCTCCATGAGAGCCTGCAGCCCTGGGGGGTGGGGGGGAGAAGCGATGGCTGGATGCAGAAGCACACTGAGCAAGGCTAGACCCATGGACAGTTGTAACCCAGTGTCCCTCTGTCCACACCCCAGAGCCGGAATTCCCACGAATGCCCCCTGGAGAGAAACAGCAGCAACTTCCTGGTCCTGTTCCTCATCGATATCAAGGACCTGCAGTAAGTTGTGGCAGTGGACCCCTAAAGACCCACAGCCCTAGGGAGAAAGCCAGTCACTTTTGGCACCTGGTACATCATGTGTTTGTGTGTTTGTATGTGTGTGCGCACATGCATGCTGCTGGAAGTTGACCCCACTGTCTTACAAATTGTATGAAAGTACTATACCCCATCACACCTCCAGCCCCTCCCTGGGGGACTCCAGGCAGGAGTTTCACCCCTGACCATACCCCAGCTCCCTTACTAGGAGATTCTAGGAAGAGGCTCTACCCCTGACCATGCCCTCAGCTCTCTTTGTACTTTTTTTCCCTCTTTGAAACAGGGTTTCTCTGTGTAGCATTAGCTGTTCTGGACTCACTTTGCAGACCAGGCTGGCCTCAAACTCACAGAGATCCGCCTGCCTCTGTCTCCCCAAGTGCTGGGATTATAGGCGTGTACCACAAACACCCAGTTTCTCTTTGTACTTTTAAGACAGGGTCTAAATAAGTTTTACCAGTTTGGGCCTTGAACTCATTCTGTAGCCCAGGCTGACATTGAACTTGTAATCCTCCTGCCTCTGCTCAGCCTCCCAAGAATCTTGGATCACAAGCCCTTGGCCCATAAACCAGGCCATGTTGTCTCTTAACTTAGTGCTTATGTAGCCCATCCTAGGGGACCTGTAGTTGCTCTTGCAGGCAACCATGAGTGTGGGAGCTATGATGGGGGAGGCGGGGAACCAGATGCTAAGAGTTGGTGGCCAGTGGCTCAGAGAGATGCATCAACCCTTAGGGAGGGCATTCGCACACATGGGATACCTGACCACAGTCTTCACCCTTCCCCTTCCCTATTCCTCCGCTCACCCAAGGGTCCAAGTCCGAAAGTATGGGGAGCAGAAGAAGCTGTTCATCTCCCCTGGCCTCCTGCCTGAAGCTCCTTCCCAGCCTGGCCTTCCGAAGCCGGCAGGTGTCTCCCAGGAGAGCGGTGGTAAGTGCACGTGGCTAGGCAGGGGCACCCTGGCCATACAGTTTTCTGCCCATCTGTCTTTTGATACTCATTCGCCCATCTCCTACAGAGAGCCCTGCAGTCAAGAAGGAGCAGACAAAGCCTACAGCACCTCAGGTTCCGGGAGGCAAAACTGCTCCAGGGGGACCCGGGCCCTCGATTGAGGGCCAGTCTCAAAGGCAGCCGCCCTCGAGGGACCCCAGTGGGAAGGAGAAGGAGCTGGTGCTGGGGCTGGGCCACCTCAACGACTCCTACAACTTCAGCGTGCGTCCCTGCCCTGCCACCTGTGTTCCCTCCCCCCCCCGCCCTCCCCCACTGCAGTGAGGAACCCTCCAGACTGAGGCCCTTCTCCCCACTAACAGTTCCACATGGTAATCGGCTCCAGGGCTGAGGAAGGTCAGTACAGCCTCAACTTCCACAACTGTCACAACTCCATTCCTGGCCAGGAGCAGCCATTCGACCTCACCGTGAGTGTGGAGGGGCAGGCCTGAGTTTGCCGGGATTGGGGGGGAGCCATGCTGAGGAGCCAGTTGTCTCCTCCCGCCATGTGGGTCCCAGGGAGCAAACTCAGGTGGGCAGACTTGGCGGCAGGCTTCTTCATGCACTGAGCCATCTTGCCAGCCCCTGGATGAACTTCTTGAAGTTGCTCTGGTGGGGCATGCATTGTAGGGTCTCTAACCCTTCTCCAATTGGAAGTATTTAAGGGAAGACAAAATTTTATCTATTCCGAGTATTTAGAGAATTCTGTGTGTGTGTGTGTGTGCGCGTGCGTGCGCGCGCACGCAGGTGAGCTTGTATTATGTACAGAGAGAAATGTGTTAACCCACAGTGCTGTTCCTCAGGATGCTGTCAATCTTGGTACTGCTTTTTGTTTGCTTTGTTTTCTTCTGAAACAAGGACTCACTTTGTAGCCCAGGCTGGCCTAGAGCTCATTATGTGGGCCAGGCTGGCTTTGCACTCACTGCCCCTTTCTCCACCACCCTCCCCCTGCTCCTTGAGTGCTGGACTTAAAGGAATGCGACACACCGCTCACCTCACCCTGTTTTTTGAGACAGGGTCCCTGACTGGCTTGGAGTGCACAGATTCCTCAGGCTGCTGCCCAGCAAGCCGCAGGGGCTACCACACCTGCCTTTCTTATGTGGGTTCTGGGCGTGTGAAGAGAGCTCCTCATGCTGGCAGGGCAAACGCCTTACACCTCAGCTGCCTCCTGGCCGCTCACATATGCCATCCAATGCCATGAGCGCCCTGTAGACTTGTTTTCCTTTTGTTTTGAATGTGTGTGTGCAGTGCGTGTGGAGGTCAAAGGGCAGGTTACAGGAGTCGATCTCTCCTACCTTCACACGTGCTCCAGGGTGACACCTGGAGTCGTCCTTGGCCTCCACACAGGTAAACAGAATCATACAGTATGCCCTAAGTATCCAGTTGCAGCATGAGTACTTGTACTGTATACTTTGGGCCACCTTTCTCCTGGTGTTCCCTACTCAGTGTCACGTGACACCTCTGTATCCCTGGTATACATTGTTCAGCTGTTCCCAGCCCTCTGCAAGTGTGTCAGGCCCTGTATGAATTCTCCATCACTTTGTACAGAGACCGGGTCATCTCTGGGTGTTTGTTCTTTTGAGGTCCCAGTGCCAGTCCTCTGTGGCTGCCAGTGAATAGCTGTGTACCCATTTGAGAGATAGGACCAACTGAGGCTCTGGCTAGAAAATGGGAGAGTTCGAGCTATAGGGGCAAGGCCACCCACCTGCATTCCCCCCGTACAGGTAATGATCCGAGAGAAGAATCCAGAAGGCTTCTTGTCAGCGGCTGAGATCCCCCTCTTCAAGCTCTACCTGATCATGTCTGCCTGCTTCCTGGCTGCTGGCATCTTCTGGGTGTCTGTGCTCTGCAAGAACACGTAAAGCCTTTTCACCAGCCTGCCCTTCCCCACCTCTGCCCTGAGGACCCCGCTCACTGACCTCAGCGGTGCTCTCCCCACCCATCTCTCCTCTGGCAGATACAGTGTCTTTAAGATCCACTGGCTCATGGCAGCTCTGGCGTTCACCAAGAGCGTCTCCCTACTTTTCCACAGCGTGAGCACCCAGGGCCCAGTGGCTGCACGAGGGTGGGATGATGAGACGGGACATCTGTCCACCTGTGCACCTTGTCCATTTCGTCTCTGTTGACACCCCACCCAGCTCTTGCCACCCGCCTCTGGGACCATCCGTTGGACAGCACTCACTGTATTGTCCAACCATCCCACACCTAGCCAACCCTCCTCTATTGCAGAGGGAGGCTGTGGTGATGGACTTTCATTTCCCTCCCAGTCACCCGCTCATCCCATAATTATCCTCTGTGTTCCTAAGCCGCCCCCAGCCTCCCACCCCCCTCTCTGACTGCCCGCGCATCTGCCTGCCTCCAGATCAACTACTACTTCATCAACAGCCAGGGCCACCCCATCGAGGGCCTCGCCGTCATGCACTACATCACCCACCTGTGAGTCGCCATCTCTGCACACAGGTGGGCACACAGGAAGGGAGGGAGGGTCCCCACCGCATCGTCACGCCTCCCCGCCCTGGCTCCCCCAGGCTGAAGGGCGCCCTTCTCTTCATCACCATCGCCCTGATCGGCTCGGGCTGGGCTTTTGTGAAGTATATGCTGTCAGACAAGGAGAAGAAGATTTTTGGGATTGTGATCCCCCTGCAGGTTTGGGGGCCCAGTTCCCATGGGGGTCTAGCAGGGTGGAGGAAGGGAGGCTCAGGCAACAGTGGAGACATCTGGGGAGAGGTGCGGAGAGGAGTGCTATTAATGCAGGGAGGGATGCAGGAGAGACGCCGGGAGGGGTGCGCAGGCGGGGTACAGGGAGGGGAGTCCATGGGGTAGGGATTTGGCAGTGGCTCGTTTTCAGTGGGCTGGGGTAAGAGGATGGGAAGAGTCAGGTGGCACTCGGCCATCCCCACAGGTCCTGGCTAATGTAGCATACATTGTCATTGAGTCCCGTGAGGAGGGTGCCAGTGACTACGGACTATGGAAGGAGATCTTGTTCCTCGTGGACCTCATCTGCTGCGGTGCCATCCTCTTCCCAGTGGTCTGGTGAGGACCCCGGAGGCCCTGCACCCTTGCCTGGCTGAAGACCTGCCTCCCAGCCCCACTGAGGCCCCTTCCCTACCCCAACAAAAGATTGTCCTGTGCCCTGGCAGGACCAATATGACCATTTCCCATATTCTTCCACCTTTTCCAGGTCCATCCGGCATCTGCAGGATGCCTCTGGCACTGATGGGAAGGGTGAGGACCCCCTCCTCAAGTTTGTCCCAGCCCTGCTTTCTCTCTGACACCAGGTGTCTGCATGGCTGTTCTTGTCTTACTCCTCTGGCCCCTCCCTCATCTCCCACTGCCCCACTTTTCAATTGCTCTTGCTACTGTTCTCTTATTGCCCTGGACCTGCCCCCCAGGCCCTGTTTCCTTCTCCATTGCCCTTTCGTCCTGCCACTTTCAGTGACACCCCCCCACACTTGTGCCCACCCACAGTGGCAGTGAACCTGGCCAAGCTGAAGCTGTTCCGACATTACTACGTCATGGTACGAGTCCTGCCTTCCCACAGGCCTGAGTCCCTCTCTGCTGCCCTCTGCCCCTGACCCCCAGCCTTGACCTGTCCTCTGTCCTTGTGCCCTTATCCCTCTCCCCACCAACCTCGTGCCCCCAGGTCATCTGCTATATCTATTTCACTCGTATCATCGCCATCCTGCTGCGAGTGGCAGTGCCCTTCCAGTGGCAGTGGCTGTACCAGGTGAGCGAGGCAGGGTCACCCCAGTAGACTGTGGGTCAGGAGTGTGGGTGGCCAGGGAGCCCCGCCTGAGCCCACACCCGCTCCCCAGCTCCTGGTGGAAAGTTCCACGCTTGCCTTCTTCGTGCTCACGGGCTATAAGTTCCAGCCGGCTGGGGACAACCCATACCTGCAGCTGCCACAGGAAGATGAGGAAGACATACAGATGGAACAAGTGTAAGCAGAGCTGCAGGGGTGGGGGCCAGGGCCCGAGGGGGCAGGACCAGGAGTTCTTTGGAGCTGAAGAAGTTAGGGAGCTCACAGCACTGGGGCAACAGGGCAGGATGGGGCGGAGGCCCAGGCTGCTTCTGGGGGTACAGCCAGGCAGGGTGGTGGGTGGGTGGGGCTAAAGGTGGGGTATGGGCAGCTCTAACACTGGTCCAAGTGGTGCTTGGAGATAGCCTAGGAGAGGGTAGAGCTGGCTCTGAGGTGGGCTGAGGAAGAGGAGGGATAGGATGTGGAGGGTGGGCAGGTCTGGAGTCACTGGGGGTGGGATAAGAGTACTGGTAAAGGATGGGCTACATCCCGCAGGGCCTTAGGCAGGCTGGGCCAGGACCATGCCATTCTGGAGCCAGGTTAATTTGGCAGGGTTAAGACTGGTGTACCAACCACTGGGCTAAGTTGGCCTGGGAGGGTAAGACGGGAGTGGGCGGGGCTGAAGCAGCTCTTGGACAGGGCCTGCTGCTATTCAGCTGCTGGACCCTGCTTCTCCCGTGTGCCCCCTCCCAGGATGACGGACTCTGGGTTTCGGGAAGGCCTGTCCAAAGTCAACAAGACAGCCAGTGGCCGGGAACTGTTGTGACTTCCCTGTGTCCAGCCAGCGCCCTCGGTCCTTCTGCATCCCAACCCCTATATTTGTCCCCAAGTGTGCAGGGAGCCTGGGGGGACCATGCCGATGAGGCACCCAGGATTCGGGTCCCCAAGGAGCCTTTCAGAAAAGATGCCCTTCTCCCAGCACCGCAGCCCTCTCCTTGGCAGGGGACACTTCAGCCTTTTGCGGTACAATAAGGACCAATCTTTTTCATTTCTTAAGTTTCTTGACTTTAAGGGTTTTGAATGCCTAAGGCAAGCTGCATTTATGATCTTAAATCCAGAATTCTCAGTCTACATGGTGGCACATGTCTGTCATCTATTGCTCTGGAGAACCTGGGCCTTATGAAACCTTGAGTAAACAAATAAAAATAAAGAGAACTCGGAATTTACAGTGAGGGGAGGACATCGGGCGAGCGGACACTGTGCTGGGCCCTGTGCTCCTGGGGAAAGCATGACCAGTCCTCCCATCCCAATCATCACAGGCCTTTCAAGTCACCAGACCAAGATGAGGGTCCCACAGGGACAGACCACAGAAGTCTGGAAGGTAGAAAGAACGGTGAAGTGTGTGCCGAAACCTCCATAAAGAGCTGGATGTGCCTGTAATCCTCGGAGGGGGAGGGTGCAGACCTCTCTAGGCCTGGCTGCCCAGCCAGCAGAGCCTACTTCCTGCAGCCCAGCCTTGAGCTACCCCATCTCAAAGCTCAGGTGGATGGCAGCTGAGGAACAGCAGGCTAACCTGAGGCTGTCACACCTGCAGATAATAGTCAGCGTGGGAGTGTAGGTTAATGAATGACTTCCAAGTCCCCGAGGCCACCGAGTAAAACTAATAGCTGTCATGTTGGTTCAAGTCTGTAAACCCAGTATTCAGGAAGCTGAGGCTAGCCCGGGCTACAGAATGAGGTCCTATCCATGTGGAAATGGATAGTCATGGCTGTAAGGGTCCAGCAACAGCCTCAGCCTGGCCTCCATTAGAGTTAGCTCTTCAAGAAGGCTCTCTGGCCTCCTCTGAGGATACCCAGGAATGTCTTACAGAAGGCAGAGACATCATGGTGTCTGGGGAGGGGTGAGGAAAGGGGCCGCTTGAAGGCTTCCACAGTAAGGAGATGAGGCCAGCTGCAGCCCAGATGAATAAACAGCCCAGCCAGCGGAAGCACTCCACTCGGGCTGGGTAGAGTGTGAAGGAGGCGGTGGAAGGCAGAGCTGGGCCTGGCTGGGCCAGCAGCAGAACAGATTGGTGAGGCTTTGTGCTAGGGCCCACAGGAGCCGTGGAAGAATCAAGGGGAGTGTCCTGTGCAGGTGTGCGTGCTGGAGTGGACAGTTATAACCTTCCCACTCCAAAGATGGGCACACGCTAGCCCTCAACAGGTGTGAAAAAGTTCCCTGACAGTGAAGGGGCCTGAGGATGGGGCTTAGGGAAGATCCGAGGGTGAGATGGAGGAGAGGTCACCCTAGTGGGCTCTAGTGTCCTCACAGTGCTCTTGTGGGAAGAGGTGAGCCAGAGCCGAGGCAGGGGAGTGAGCTCCACAGCGCACACACCTGTCTTCCCAGGGCTCAGGTGGCAGCAAGCCCGTGAGCTTAGCCTAGTTTGCATAGTGAAAGAGTGGGGAAGGGGGGAAGAGGTGTGCGTAAGGCACCCACCTGAGTTTCTTGTTTCCGGGTGCCTTTCACTGTCCTCTGGAGACAGGCTGAGTCTGCCCCATCCCCTCCTGTGTCATCTGGGCCCTGCAAGCCCCACACAGCTCAGGAGAGAAGCTGTTGTCATTGGTGGTGTGGACCTCGAAGGGTCAAGGTCCCTGGGGGTTAATGAGTTACCGGGTAGGAGGAGAGGTCACACAGCCCCAGTGCTAGGTGGACAGGAATTCCAGGAAAGCCACACAGCCCAGGACCTGTTCTACAAGTGGGGAGCCTGGGCGGGAGAGGGAAGGGGTGCACAGGCAGTCAGTTGAGGGGTCTGCAGCCAAACAGAAAGTCTCCCCCTCTCGTCCTCTCCTGACGCCATGGCTCAGCACTGGCTGAAGGGGCTGTCAAGAGGTTTGCCCCTCTGAATCCCTAAATGTGTGTGCCTAACACCAGGCATTTCTCTCTCTCTCTCTCTCTCCGTTTTTTAAAGAATGGTTTGTTCAAAGAGCATTTTATTTGGACTTTTTCTTATTTTTAGGCAGGGTTTCATGTAGCCCAGGCTGGCCTTACACTTTCTCAGGAGCCAAGGATGACCTTGAATTCCTGATCAGATGGAGTTTTGAGAAAGGGCTTATCATGGAGCCCAGGCTAGATTGGAACTTGTGGCAGTGCTCCTGCCTCAGCCTGGCACTGTTCTCCAGTGTGTGTGCATGTGTGACTGTGTGTGTGTGGGGGGGGGTGCATGTGCTTGTGTGAAGGCATATGTGTACAGGTGTACATGCATGCATGTACCTGTGTGGACATGTTCATGTGTAGGTGTGTGTATGTGTGCGTGTGTGTGTGTGTGTGTGCGCGCGCGCGCGTGCGTGTGTGCAAAGTTGACGTCTTCCTTAGTCACTCTGCACTGTTGTTTGTTTACCAAGGCCTCTCACTGGACCCAGAGCTCACTGGCTCTGTCTGGTCCAGTAGGTCAGCTTGCCCAGGGCCCAAGGAACCCCTGCCTCCGCCTCTGCCGCAGTTATCAGTGGATGCCACTGCCCAGATCACTAGCTTTGTACAAGGGTGCCCAGATCTGTACACACCTACCACCTCGCCAGGCCTTGACATTCACCCAGGTTGGTCTCAAAAGGCAATCCTCCCCCCTCAGCTTTTTGAGTATTGGGAGTGATGGAGTGAGAGTGTGTGCACGTACAAAGTTTTAGCCAAGTACTTTGCACAGATCTTGTAAACAGCCTTGAGGCCAGAGTGCTGGGCACATGGCCCCCACTCACTGGGAATCCCCTCGCATGCTCCCTGCAATGCTGGCTCAGCAGGCCCACTCGCTCCCTCTCCAAGTTCTGAACACAAGTTCTTACTTTCCCAGAGAGGAGTCACAGAGTTCAAGAATTCCCCATCTCCCTTTCCTCCCTCACTTTCTCCCTCCAAGCGGGCCCTGGTCCAGACCTGGCTTCCTGGTTATCTCCCAGCAGCAAGCCCTGAAGTCTGATGACTTCCAGTAAATGAGGCTGGTCCAGACCTTCCCACCTCCCCAGCCCAGAAGCAGGAGCCTTAACCATCCAGCTGAGACCTGATCCCCCCCCCCCCCCCAGCCACTGGGTTGGCCCTTTGTTCTCAGACCTGTCAATCACTCACCTCCACCAGGCAGGGTAAACAACCACAAAGGACAAAACATCCAGTAGACACAAAGGAGCAAACACTGGCAAATCACAAAGCCGTCCTCTTCCAAGCCAGAGTGAAACAACAAGGCCAGGAAGAGGACGGAGCACAGGGGCTCGCTGCCAAGGCTGGCAACCAGACCTCATCCCAGAGATACATCCCTTCAAGGAGAAAAGGAACACCCACAGGTTGTCCTCTGGCAGCCACACAGGCATGAGTATATACAACGATAAATAAACAAGATGCAGTTTTAAAGTGTGTTCATATAAATAAGATGCAATTTTAAAATATGCTTACTAGAACAACAGCAAGGAGCTGAGGGCTGGGGGCGGGGGGGCAGGTGAGCCGCAGAAGAGCTGCAAAGGGAACGCTTAGAGAGCTGGTTTCAGAAGTTGGGCCCAGGTTTTGGAGGCAAGCTAATGTGTACAACTCCCTCCTCTCCCTCCTCCTCCCTTTCTGCCTTCCACAGAAAGGATGTCGCAATCACAGCGAAAAGCCAAGCCAGGTTTGTTCTAACTCCCAGCCACCCCTGTGCCAGGAGAGGCCAGGAAAAATTACTGTTTTACAGGAAATCAGGGCAAACTGTTCTCTTAACTCTTTCACAGAAGGCTACACGAATACCTGTCCTTGGATTGGGCGTCACCATCTTGGTTCAAAGTGTTCCCACAGCCATTCACGTTCCAGTCTCAGAGGACAGTGTGGAGAGGCCGACAGAAAAAGCTGAGATTCCACTTAGTACCAAAGACCCTCAAAAGTTCTCACCCAGGTGGATGTGGCCACCTGCCACCTCAGTCCTGGGTTACGTCCCCACAACCATAGAAACCGGGCATGACAGCAGCCACCTGCGACTGCCTGTCAAGCCAGCACTCGGGAGGTGAGGCAGGAGGAGCAGGGGTTGGAGGTCACCTGTCTTTCCGTAAGGACTTTGAAGCCACCGGGGCTACAGGAGACTCAGATGAGAGAAACAAAGGAAAACCAGCTAGGCTGGGTGGCCACCCCTTTACTCTCAACTTTGGAGGCAGAGGTGTGTGGATCTCTGAGTTCTTGGCCAGCCAGGACTAAACACCTTCCCTATATCAAAAGGTCTGAAATCCAGCTAGCATGGCCGGGCAGCCAGGCCAGAGGCAAACTGACAATTCATTCCTTTGAATCTGCAACCCAGCCGGCAGGTGTGTAAATCTGTAGAACCTTCAAAGAGAGCGAGCTGGCAAGATGGCCTGGAGCAACCTCAAGGGAACACCAGCCAGCTTTCTTGCAGGAAGAAACTGAGGCCCAGGGCCCACCCAGGATGGTGAGTGGCAGCTCCCAGGGAGCTGAGTTGGAGCTCTCAGGGCACAGAGTTGGCAGCTGAACCCGGAAGTCTGTCTGTCATCAGCACAGATTGGTTGCTTCAGCACAAGGTGCAGGGGCCAGCAAGAAGGAGGAAGTCTGTGAGCACTGACCTGAAACAATCTGAGACAGATGTCTCTCACTCAGAAAGCAGGACACCGCTCAGGGAAGCCGGCAGAACAGTACAGAGGGCTTGAAGGTTACTGTTAGACCGTGTGTTGGTAATGATGGATAGGAACTGGCCTCTCTAGAAACGCAGTCTGTGGAGCTGGAGAGACAGCTTGGCAGTTGTGAGCACTGGCTGCCCATCCAGAAGACTCAGGTTTGATTGCCAGCACCTAATGTGGCTCACACAAACACTTGCAAGTCCAGTTCTGGAGATCCAGCATCATCTTCTGGCCTCTGCAGGCACCAGGCATGCACAAACACTCTGACACATACATATAAAATAAATATTTAAAAAGGAAAGGAAACAGGGTGTCAGGTAGTCCAGCCTGACCTCTAGCTTGCTGCATAGCTGAGGCTGACCTTGAACTCTTGATCCTCCTGCCTTCACCTTTTAGTACTAGGATGACAGACATGTCCTACTGAGCTGCATTCTAAAGCCGTTATCTGTCCTTTATAGATATTAAGCCTTGTGAGTACCTTACCTGACATGTACAAAGTCAGTACAACTGAAAATGATAATATCCGTGTAGATACAGGACAGGTCCCAGAGACAGAGCCGAGAGCGGACCTTTCCTTAGTGACTCTCAAAGCCCACCACACTCGCTCAGCCACCCAAGGACAGGGCAGGTGAGGTCCACTCGCCCCTTTCCCTCCTAGAGAGTGAACTTCTAGGCAGCCTTCAAAGCCAAGCTGAGGGGCTGGAGAGATGGCTCAGAGGTTAAGAGCACTGCTTGCTCTACCAGAGAGGTCCTGAGTTCAATTCCCAGCAACCACATAGAGTTCAATTCCCTTACAACCATCTACCATAATGAGATCTGGTGTCCTCTTCTGGCCTGCAGGCAGAACACTGTATACATAATAAAATAAATCTTAAAAAAAGAAAAAAAAAAAGCCAAGCTGAATTCATCTACCTCCAAGAAGCCCTCCAGATCCTCTAAAAAAAAAAACAGAATTCTTTCACGCTGCAGAAAATGCTCCACAGAGCTGGCACTGTGCGTGAGAAGCTGCCCCACGCCTTGCTGTCCTCACAGGAAAGGCTTGTTTTAGAAATGCACAAGTAGGGTTTGGTAATGCCCAGCAACTGAGGAGGCTGAGGCGTTGCTTGAGGGCAGGATTCAGGTAGTGGTTCTCAACCTTCCTAGTGCTGCAACCCTTTAATACAGTTCCTCATGTTGTGATGACCTCCAGCCATAACATCATTTCAATGCTACAATTTTGCTACTGTCATGAATTGCAATGTAGATATCTGATTTGCAAACTCAAGGGGGCCTTGACCCACAGATTGAGAAGCGCTGAATTAGGGAGCCCTGGGGAGTGGGGAGAAACAGACAAAAGTGCTCTGGCGCTGGGACCCAGCTAAGTGAGGAATGAGCCACTGCACAGTTCAGTGGGGTCTGTAACCAAAGGCAGCAGACACCTGCCCAGGTTCAGCACCCGACCTTGACACCAGGAGAAGCCCGAGCCAGGCAGGTACTTTGGAGCTCCAGCGAAATGTGCCTCGGGTTACTCACCCCAGGACTTGCTGGCAGGGAGCTTGTGAAAAGCTTAGGAAACTCTGTTGTGAAATCTGGGGCAGCCCCTGGGGCAGGAACAGGGAGGGACCAGAGAAAGAGGTCAGCATAAGAGGCAGCTGCTGCAGCTCCAGCTCAGCACTGCCCCTCAGCCCCTCGGCCCCTCAGCCCTCAGCCCTAAGCCCCTCCTCCACCTTTGCCCTTCACCATGGCCCCCGCTTCAGGGCCCCGGCTGCTGCTGCTGCTGCTGCTGTCCAGCTCCCCCCTGGCTCTGGGGAGCCCCATGTAAGTAGTTACCTTCTGGGGGTGCAGTTCCTCATAGAATTTCGGAGGCACCCGGGTGCGTGCAGCTTTGTGAAGTGATGGATGGGTATGGAACAGGGGTGTTAAGAATTTGTGCTGGGCTGGAGCACGGCTCAGTGGGTAAGAACTCTTGCTGCATGAACATGACGATCCTAATAGACTCCCAGCACCCATGCAAA